CAAAATAATAAAAAAAACTGCGGTTGTCCACACACGTGCCAAGTGCGGTAACTGCGATAAATATCCGCTCTGTGAGACAATCTATTAAGGTGGTTTTTGTTTAGCATTGGACTTTTGAAAGGCTGTAAAAAAATTAGAGAATAAATAATGGATTTTATAATCCTCGCGCCGCTAACAATCTGTATCTCCTGTGATAAATTGAATTGTCTGTGCGGCATCAACGGATCGTTTAGGGATTTTTCAGTACCACGTTTATTGCATCTTAGAAGCTGATTCCCGTTACTTTAATTTCAGTTACTTTGAAATAAGAAATGAAATGAAGACAAGGTTTTAATTATATTTGCACATTTGGAAAATACTTTAAAAATTATAACAAATATTCCTTTCTGATCCTTGTTTCATTATATAAATATATGTACGTATACCGTTCAATTGAAATTACCAATACGGGCATTGTATTGTTATTTTTAAGAACTACATAAATTTGTTTTAATTATTCTACATAATGACAATTAAATGGAATTAAAATAAAATACTCGCTAAATATCCTAAAGGAGCTCCGTCGCCGACGGATTCGGTATTTCAATTTCATTGTCGGGATCCACCGAGATTGAAAATAAACTCAATTATTGCAAATTGAAGTTACGTTATCCCAACGTTATCAATCATCGTGATTGTATTTAATAGATAGGAATTTGTGTTGACTTCGCATAAAATATGGCATTTAAAACGAATTGGAACATCATTTGAGTGTAAATGCACATTATACACAATGTAGTATTATAGTTTGGTTGAAGATAGGACTCTGCCAAGTATTAGAATTTTATATGTACGTGGCATCGACGTATTGATTAAATATAGATGTATATTATCTGAACCCTATATCCATTTTTCATTGTTAGACAAAACAAGACATAATATTTATAATTTATCTTCTCTGATATGTTAACGAGAGCGATGTTTGTATACTTTACCTAAATAGTGAGGAGCATACTCATATTTTTACAGTCTACTACGATGGAATACCAATAGCCTTAGAGCATGTAATACTGCCTTTATATAATATATCTTTCACACTGGAACACAGCAATGGAGCACTGTTATTTGTTTGTTTTTTTGCGATCATAAGTGAGTTATTTTAAAATGGTCCTAATTGTCTTAATCTTACGAATTTTGATATAAAGGAATTTTGAGAAAGATGCTTGTTCTTCATTCCGTTATGTTATTGTAATCTTTTCAAAAAGGTTAGATAACTGGAAAACTATGAATTAACTAACATTAAACATTTATACGTGACAGAGCCACGCTGCAGCTATGTTATGGTTTTAATACGAATGGGTCGGCTCGACCGGGGTAGGACCATGCTCTCACGGAATACCAGCATAAAATAGCAGCTCAATGCTGCTGTGTTTCATATGGTGAGTGTAGAGAACCGGGGACTTTTTTTTACTGGAAACGAGGCGTTCCATCTTAGTCCTCACGGGTGAAAACGCATCTGCATTTTGATTCATAATCGAGGATAGATGTAGATGTCTATGGGCCGCAGCAACCACGTACCATCAGGTGGACTGTGTGCCCTTATAATATAAAAAAATATAAAAAATCCTTCTAAATAATTCAGCTATTACTTTGAAATATTATATAAAATGCTTTATATAAGTATTTAAAAAATATATAAAATGTTACTTACGTTTCTCTTTTATTTTTTACATTAAATATTGCATTCAATACAAGATGTTAACCAATCGGTACTACATATAAAATAAATCGTATTAATAACAAAAAAATTTAAAATGTGAAAGACAATCTCAAGTCAGAAATAAAGGTCGCATTGAAATGGACGAAAGGAATTATTAAATCCGACATTTTACCGCATGTAAAAATGCTGTACAAATATGTGAAATGAAAAGGTTACAAGAAATCCTTCAAAATTATTATTAAACGACATGTATATAATCGAAGTTTTAAACCTATATAAATGATTAAATACAAGTTGTTTTAAAGTCAACTTATTAGGTCCATGCAACACTTTTTAATGAATTAATAATGAAATGACGACAAATGTTGTCAGAGCTTTTTTTTAAATTTCTGCTATAGTATTAATTCGCAATCCGCCTGTCAAAAGTTTTGAGTATGGTTTTCTTACGTTAAGATTAACGGATGCAGTAGCAAAATGTAATGTAACGTCGAAATATAAAGAAAACACAACTGAATTTCGAATGAATAAACTATCGAACAGATTGATGTACTCACATAAAACGGTAGATACTTTTATTACGTCGTTGAATTTACGCTTTTTCAATTCTGCTGGCTTCCGCGTAAAGTCTCTTACAGTCATATACAGCTGCCGCAAATCGCCATAAAGGGTGAAGTTGGACGTTGGACACTTAATAAATCTTTTTGATTGCTTGCTTGATGCCCTTACCTAGCGTTACGATCCTTTGAATGTTTCAACTACGATAATATAAATTCTATGTTATTTATGAAGCGATCTATGCAATTGATTCTCAATCATATAGCGATTTAAATGCACTGAAATTGTTTTGCCTGGAGAGTTTTAACACAGCCGCCAGTTGTTTTATCGATAAATATTTATTGGGATTAAAATTTATTTCACATAACTTACAAAATTTAGAATTTATCTGTTACCTAATCAAGATATTTTTTCCTCGTTGTTATTTCTTATTAGTCTGTATTTATAATGTGTGATATATCTAATACTATAAACTCCTCTCCTGGCAGCTAGCACTTTTTAAGAAAATGTTGTAATTTTTTTTAAAGTTAATTTTTGATTAAAATTTTACAATTTAATACACTACTCTCTGAAGGAATTGTGAAAGTTCTTCAAAAAATTTATGAATGTTTTTTTAAATAATGTCAATATCAATTATTAATTTTACATATTTACATTAAGAAGTGCACACTAGATTCAATTTATTTGAGTTCTCATTTGAAAAGTTACATTTATTTCTGTTGCTCAGTACGACACAATGGATTTCAATAAGTTTAAGTAATGACCGTCTATGCAGCAAAAAGGGTTCTAGGTGTTGAATGGATTGGAGTTAGTGGGTTTTTATACAGATATGTGTGACAAACGAGCACACATTACACCACATGATAAGTGAATACTGTAACACAAATATTTCTACATTTTAGTCTCGATTAAGATTCAAAATGCAGCAGCGTTGTAACCCCTAAGTACTAAGAATTAACGCCTCGTTATCAGTAAAAAAGGTCCTCGGTTCTTGTCACATATCTTACGAAAGACAGCAGGAATATGCCGTTATTTCACGCTGTTATACTATACGGCTAGAAGTAGTCAATAATTTAAGTTTAGCTCTATATTATGATAAATACTTATTACGTTTTAAAAATAATTTTAAAATAGAGTTTAGTGTTTCGATTTTCTAAATGGTAGAACTCCTTTTCTGGTTAGAAGTAAGTGATTTCAGCCGCCAAATAACAGCGCTTGCACTAGTGTGTTCCAATTTGAAGGATCAGTAGTATAATTATTATCTGTGAGGTATTCCATCTTAGCACTCAGAGATGACAAGGATGTAGCCTTTAGATGTCTTGTCATCTCTCTGTTTGTATTAAGTTGGTTGCGGGCGTCCAGGGGAAGAAGTAGTCACTTACCATCAGTAGATTGTAAGTTCGTTTGTCACTTCAGTATTATAAAAAAATATTTATGTTCTATACCAGATATAAAAGTTGAATTATGTGGACAAAGCCGCCAGTATGGACCAGCCTTCGATAGGTAGTCTTCGTCGGTGCTATAAATAGATCTTAAGTGCCCGCGCCTTTGGTATTGCCTAGATTAAAGCTAGAAATAGCATTCTGTGATGTCGGTCGCCTACGGATACAGGCTTCGGGGAGATTTAATGGTTTTACAACTTCGTTGTTTCAATAATGTATTTATGTGTAAGAACTTGGACTGGTAAAATCTAATAGATATAACATATTTAAATATATTTGGTTAAAATAAATCCAAATTTCAAAGACTTCCTTTTATATTAACAAAACAATCTACGACGAAGTTACGAAAAAATATAAGGATGATTGTCAGATTTAGTTGTACTCGTATGTAAAGGAGCTCCGGATCGCATTATTATTTTGGGTTTGGAATCTTCTTCCTTTTGGATTCATTTAATATTTATCTGCTTAAGGCCGTATTGTAGCACGGTGTATTGGTATGAAAACGCAACTTCACTTTCCGAAATTTGTCGAGTGAATTAGTACCAAGTCGGGGAAAATTTTAGAAAAAAACAAAGTACGTCCAATTTTAAAAATGTTTCGGCAGACACTGTCCGGGGCTGCCACAACCGCGTGTACTGTTTGATTTTGTCTTGTAATAAATATAAAAACGTGAAATGTGTTTTCGGTCTGCGCCTCCTTTTCACTAAACGGGGTCGCTTCCGATTCTGCAGAAAGACCATACAGGCCAAAGCCAGCCCCAGGTGGTGTTTAGTGGTTAGGCACTTAGGTTTCATAGCGGCTGCGTGGTATGCTTAGAGCATTCACCACCTCCCTCCCCCGCTTCCCGGAGGATAGCCTTTTTCATTGCTTCTGGGCGCAAAAAAAAGTGTACTCAAAACGATCTAAAAGCAATAAGCCTTTTCATTTGTCATTTTTCATACGTTTCATTATGGAATCTCTGCAAGGTACATGTTTAAATAGCGATTTAGTGTCATGTTTATGATTTTTTTTTATCAAGCAAGTTAATATAAACCCTCGTCCGTATGTTTAATTTCTATAAAATGTTTTTGTTTTTGCGCAATAATTATATTTAAGTAGATTTTACAAAGGTTTAAAAATGTTAAAAAATACTGCATCAGTGCCTTAAATGGATATCTGTCACAGGATGATACATTTTTTTTTTTATTAGAAACATTATCGTAGGAGAACAAGGAGCGGTTTTATATAACCGACGTCAAAATGCTTATGAAAAAAACTACCTATATTGAAATTATCCCGAGATGTTTATACAATAGTGTACAGACCTTTGGCAAGGCGGCGAGACACTGCTGCTTCACGTCCCACACGAGCTGGTCGCGTGGGAACTGCAGGCTTTTCTGGACATTGAGCTCAGGTACGTGCACGCGCACCAACAGCCAGCCCTCCGCGCTCTCCGAGCACTCGCCCTCCATTACGCTACGCCATCTGAGAACAAAAAATTATATATTTAAAATAGGTTATAATCAATATAATAAATTTATTTTATATTTTGTATATGGTTAGTGATAACAACTGGAGGCCCTTTTTACTGGTGATAGAATGATCCATCAGCATTCTATTTCAGATCTCAGGGGCTTAATCGCTCTGTATTTTTATAGGTATCTATTAGACAGAACAAACAGTTAGTATCAACACTGTGTTCTTTTGTCATCCTTAGTTGTTTAAAAAGGACTGCGTTGTTGCTCTACAAGTTGTAGTCGAATTTAAGTCCCAGGTCGTCCTAAAGTCAGTCATTGGGTTTGTTTTGTCGGTAAGTTCATGGTGTGTCAGCCCCGTGTTATGGAAAGTCCCTCCGGTCGTGTCGTATTGCCGCCCCATCGGAATATGAAGGAATAAAGGGTATAACCATACCTACTTGAGCACACACTTTTCATACGTGGTAGAGCCATGCTTCAGCTATATTAATAGTATACTTGTAGCACGAATGGGTCGGCTCAACCGGAGAAGGACCACGCTCTCATAGAATACCAGCGTAAAATAGCAGTTTAACACTGCCGTGTTTTGTATGGTGAGTGTAGAGAACCGGAGACCATTTATACCGGAAAAGAGGCATTCCATCTTCGTCCTCACGGCCGACAACGCATCTGCATTTTGATTCGGAAACGAGGATAGATCCATAATGTCTGGGTCACAGCAACCACTTACCATTAGGTGGACTGTATGCTCGGTTGTCACCCTTATCCTTAAAAAAACCACTCATTTTTGTGCGCTATAATCCTGTCGGGCGTGACCGCAATTCGGCCTTGAGGGCAATTCATTGTATAAAAATATTATAACCATCATAATATTATCGTTTCGTAGTTGATTAAATAAAATAGGTATATACAGGTAGGTACTGAGTTAGAACAAATTAGCCGTAATCGCAAGCTCGGCGCACTGCGCGTGTCAGTTGAACTTGAACTGCAACTACAAAAACTGCAGTTTCATAGTTGTCACAACTTTTAGCTGCTGGCTATCACGGCCTATTAATCGGCTTAATCTTCAAATGCACCAGGAGTACAAATTTTCGTACTTCAATCGTATTGGGTTTGCTGTGTACTGATGAACTCCAAAAATTTTTCGTTGTTATATTTGTTATCAGCTATCGTGATTTAGTTACCAATGGATCTGTAATTTTAGTAATTACTTATTATGTATCCAACCTTCAGATAAATTGCAAAATACTAGCGCCCCGTCCAGGCCTGTACGGGATCTATTAATGTAACGTTATTTAAATTTAAGATAATCAAAGACTACTTCTTTTGTCAATTTTTTGTTTCTTTTTCTTAAAAATTTCGTTATTTTATCCGAAAAACTTGAAGATTTTTAACGGTAATATACCGTAGATATAGATCCTGTCCAGGCGAAGCCGGGACGGGCCGCTTATATATAATATTCTCATAATAGATGTTATATAGCAATATAGCCTATGAACAAAAATGTTATATATTCTGTGGTCGTTGTTGTGTCTGGTTGCATCGCCAGCGAGACACGGCGAGCCATCCGGTTACATTTCTCTGAAGTTTAAATTACGAATTCAACAGCCAGTGGCGCCAAACGTTTATCACATCACGCCTTCGGGAAACAATCGCGCGGGTTCGCAAATTAAAGATGGCGGTGTGGCTTTACCTAAGGCTTTACCTTGTTATGGTTTGGAACGAAAATATTTTACGAAAATCTCTAATTTAGAATTAAAAAGGTATATTCGATGCAAATCGGCATGAATGCGGTAAGCAAAAACGGTCGATTCGATTTCACAACACTTCAGTCCAAAAAACTATGTATAGTAAAAGCCTCTCACGATACGCAAAATCCAAGTTTGATAAAGTTTTTTAACAAAAGCAAAATAAATACTAGTCATTTACGAAATAATAAAATCGATAGGTACTGATGAATAATGAGGCTTCTGAAATTAAATTCAGGTGTTCATATTACATATGTTTGTTCAATAAACGTTTTATTATGAAATATTTTAGTATGTCTTTTTTATTAAAATTACTAAAAACTACAAAGCTACAAGAACAGACACAAGTCACAAAGTAACAATAATAAAAGCTTTTTCATCGTATCTTGCGACTTTAACCCGACTCTTTATTTTTTATTTATTTATTTTAAACTATTATTTACTACATAAATACAAGCTTTATTTAAATTCATCTGTATAATTTATCTAAATTACAATCATCCCAGCGTTAACTATTATTTGGTCAAAAGAATTACTCAACTAGCGTAGGTATCTAAAAAAGAGTATTTTTTTTATCTGCGTGAACTTTGAAATTTTAGTGTGTTATCTGCCAAACACGGTCATAAGACAAACTTGAGGAGATAACACTTATCATTATTAACAAGATGAGCACCTGAGTTCATACACAAAGGTAACGGTATACGTGATTCTAATACCTAGTTACAAAATGCCTGTGGGTGCAATTGAATTTGTTCTAAATCTTTTGTTTCCTTGTCCTTTGGTGATATTTTCTCGGCCATTCCAAGCTAGCGCTTGACTACTACCACACCTAATGGTGAGTGGTGAGGCAGCCAAAGATGGACTGACTTATCTTTAGAAAAGCGCATTCACTCTTACCTTGAAGACGGATGGATTTTAATTGGATGAAAAATCAGATGCTGGCAAATCATTCCCCTCCTTTAGTATACGCGTCGCGAACGACGAAGCAAACAGTTGGTTCGAATGCGTGATAAGTTTTAAATGTAACTACAATTTTAAAAGATTTTATTAAACACGTAAAGTATTGTGTATTTAATTTTCAAAGTAACCATAACTTATAATAGAAGACTTCATAGTCTATAGAAGACTCTTACTGATTTTATTCTTTTTAGTTTTATACTATCATCCGCAAGAGAAACGTAACTTCGAACAGCATTCTGGGTGTATTAGCAAATAAGTGAGATTCTCGACAGCTACGGCACTGGATTTGTCTGCATGCGTCGGACTCTCAGCCAGGCGCTAGATTAATTTAAAATATATTAAATGAATATAATATGTCATTAATATTACTAACACTAAGATAAGTTTTAATTGTTTACTAAAATCTATGGATAAAGAATCCGAATCGAAAACAAATGTTTTTGATTTGATTGATTTGATTTATATTTTTAAAACACTTTCGTAAATGAGGAATGTGGGTTCGGCAATTCCAGCTCTAATGGCTCCGGGTGGCGGCAACCTAAACTACACTACTATTTTGGACGTAATCTAGTTAATAATTTTATGTTTACTAATATTTTATTATAATATGTTCGTCGATGTTGTTGTTTGGTTTAAAATAATCATATGGATTATGAAGTTTGAACAAGTGGCAGATTAAAAAAGTGGAAAAACATACATTCTAAGTATTTGCGAAAGCAATGCCATACGTAATTATTGATCAAATAAAGAGATAGTTACCACTGACCAGTAATCGAAAGTAATCGATGCAAGTTACATTATGTAGTAGGTTATCATTTAGATAACACTGCAAACGGTTGACGATTGTAGTTAGAAACATACCTCTAAACAATTAAGGTCAAATGTCTGGCCTAAAGATACCTAATGCAATTGTTTTGTTGAAGTCAATTCTTCATTTTAATTTGATGGATGATTTTTATGAATATTTTTTTTCTAAAATACAAACTTATATAAATTTCCTATGAAGGCTGCCGTCTATTCGTGCGAGCATTAGACAACAAAATGATTTGCCTTGCGTTTTTAGTTCGAATGTCAATAACGCCTGCAGTCCACTTGATGGTTCTTCAGATTATTGAAACATTTTATAAAGATATCTTTAAAAAGGGGAAAAACGTTTATTCGCAGTGCTGCGGGCTTATATTAAAGGTTTCTGAAGAAATTGGGGGGTATTTCAAAAGCCGGCATCATAGACTGTTAAATTAAGTAACGTAAGTATAAGTCTCTACGCTTAAGAAGGATTTATATTTTATACAGCGATAAGGTGATACAAGCGTTATTTTTGTACTCGCTGCGAAGAGAAGAACTTTATAATGTATATAATATGTTCATACCCATATTTATTTCATTTTAGTTTTATTCGCGGATTAGGTAAGCGAATCCACTAGTCGTAAGAGGCGGCAGAGGAAAATAAAACAGAAGGTGGGTGATATAAACACAAAATAATAAAAAAAATGCTGCTGCCGACCCTCTGTAGAGGATATCTATGTTCAGGAGTGGATTTTTGATAGACTGCAATGATGATGGTGACGATAGTTGTATTTATAATACTGGAGTTACAAGCAAACCAACATTCCAATAGGCATATTACTATAACTTTATCATATTTACATGAATCATCATTGATCAATAAAAATATTATGTACATGCATTTTAACAAACGCCTCAATCAATTCAATTCTCATTCGATCTCTCCGCTGAGATTTACACATGCAATGAAGCCATTATACCAGAGTTCGAGTGGGGTAATAAAAAAAACTTGTTCGCAAGGTCACCGAATACATTTTTCTAGATAACTAGAAACGGGTTAATTGAGCATGTTGAGGCTGTGACTTCATCGACGCTAGCGATAAAAAACTAATCGGCTTAAAATTATGTTTAAACATCGTACAAGACAAGATAAAATTCTTGGTAATTGCGTATTATTAAATCTCGTTGGTAGGTCTGTTTTTTCTTTCATTAAAGGGATGATGTTTTTGGTTTTTTCATTGAAACTATTTTTAAATACTTAAAGTTAAAATTAGGTTGATTTCGATTTAAAAGTTGAATTTGTGCTGTAGTTTCTAGATTTTATTTATTTTTTTGGGTAGGTATGTAATGGGTATGACAACATACTATATTCCACCATGAGAACGACAATTTCTACTAATTTTGGATTGGTATAGCCGTGGTACCTAGGCGCAGTTTCACAATACGCGATCACCTTGGGTTCGATCCCCACATGTACTCGTACCAAGACGATTTAACACGTGCTCGGCTGTGAAGG